GTAATAAAAACATACCATGGAGATATCCCCCTGTTCTCAGGAAACTCCAATAACGGATACACTATATGTCAGTTTGCCAAGCCATGCTTGCGCCTGTACAAGTATATTGTTATATCGATGACACCAAACAAGAGAAAATTAAATGCACATGGTCGCGAAGTTATGTTAACAAATGTATGTGAACTTGAGAATTGATGAAGATAAATGGTATCCGACTGGTTCTGGTGGTGGTATGGCATCCCGCAAGCTACACAATCTTGTCTGGGTTACAAACATTTTAGCTGCACGGTCAAATACTTCATATTCTTCCTTGACGCTTTGGGGTTATTGACCGGAAGATATGGAAAATATGTTGTCTGAATCAATTTATAACAGCGTATTTGGTTTTGCATCATTTATATATCAATTAGAACAAACTAGCCGGGTCTTTTAAATCCAATTTTTATCACCATGCAATTAGAAATAAATTCTTGGACAAAATTTATTTTCAAAAGTTAGGTCAAAGGTAAAAAAACTCTCCTATTTCGTAAAATTTACGCCACAAACCACATGATTGTATACTATTGGCGTAAGTATTACTGAATACGACGAAAGGAGTTGGCTGAATCACATGATGAACATTTCCCCCAAATAAATCTTTATTCAATTGATTTTAGGATTCGGCGGAATGGAATACAAACAAATCTTTATTTCGATAAAGAACTTATATTATTCAGAAAAAAACTATACAACCACAGAGTGTACATATATGTTTCTCTCAATGATATGACCATGCATTGTATATGTGCTTGTATGTTTGTTTGTTTGTTTATTGTTGGTCGTTTCTACTCTACTCTGCCCATGCGTCAGTTCTGTGAATTCTTCATTTAATTTGGACATGGATTGCGCAAGACGTTGTTTCCCTTTGTTCTATTCTGATATAGGAAGAATTGGTAATCCGTTCATCTTGTTTTGACTATAATATATGTATATTTAAGTAACATATATGCAAGTACTTCATAGTACCGATGTTTTCAAATGTTCGTGAACACCACGCCGTGTCAGGAGGGTAGAGTCAATGCTTTGTTTAAAACGTTCGATAGGTATCCTTTTAATTCATGCCATGAAAGACGTTTCTATTTAATGGAAATAGCAGTTGGTCTGATCTTTTACATCGTAAGCCAGGCTACACATATGACAATGCTTTAAATAAAACGTAATGACGACGTTTTAACTGAAATGCCAATGCACTAATATTATGATTAGTTAACATCAACGACAACATCAACAAAAAAAACGACGATACTGCTGACTGTTTTTAAGTTTTTGTAAAGTATTGTCGCAACGGGGTAGTGGCAAGAACTAATCTTCGAGCCACGTGACTAATATAATGTACCACCTGACGCAAGTGACTCTATGACCTCATTTAGTAGGCTTGTTCCCCTTTGTTCTCGAATTGTATTTGTCCAGGAGTGAATCTCAAACGCGTCCAGTCTCTCATTTACATGGTAATCAGGAGCTGGGGAATCACAACCGATATAAAATGGCAGTGTAAAAACTCATTTAGATATCGTATAATGCATATTGCGCCCCACTAGAGACAGTACACTATTTTCACAGTCACTCCGTTTCCACGTACACACAGCCATAGATACAGCTCCATTTAATTGTATCTTACGGGCATATCGCCTGAAAGCGTCGTTTTACTTACTATCCGAGTAACGTCGAGTCAGCTCACCACACAATGCGAGCATTTTAATTAGTCTGTATTATCAAATCTCCTTTCCAGAGAGCTTTTATGACCGAATTTGGACAATGAAATTGATTGCTAAATCTAAGTTCTCATCATGGGTATCATCTTTATTGATTTTCCCATGTCAGTTATTCGCCTCGATTATAATGAGTCTCCTGTGGGAATGGAGAATGTAAATGCCTTTGCCTTCACATCAATTATAAATCCCGTCCTTACGTCGCTTTGTACGATTTTTTTTTCTCGAAATGAAGTTAAGTCATGTGACATGAGCGACTTATTACTTATTATTTATTAGTTGTGGTGACTAACTGTAAGCTTACTGATACTTACAAAGCGTACATATATTCTTTTAAAAGACCAGGAGTAATCATTTACTTGCTTTGTTCAGGCAACTACACTTTAAATGCCACAAAGGTTTTTTTTCAGCATTCTTCCAATAATGATTCATTACATTTGTAATACAGGAGGAATGACTGTACTATTCGGGGTTTATTCTGATGTATTACTAGTAGATGTATAACTAACTAACAAAATTACAATCTAACTAACTCACTAACTCACTTATTCGCTCGCTCACTCATTCACTAAAAGCTCTATCCTTGCAGCAAATATTCTAACGTGACATTTTTCTCTCCAATATCCCATCATCCCATTGTTCACCAATAGGCTCTCATCCCATTGTTTTCCACTATCCCTTCGTCACATTGTTCTCTAATATCCCACCAATCCATTCTTCTCCAAAATTCCACTATCCCATTGTTCACAAATATGCCCTAATCCCATTGTTCTCAAATATCCATCGTCACATTGTTCTCTAATAGCCCACCATCCCATTCTTCTCCAATATCTCACCATCCCATTTTTCACAAATATGCCCTAATCCCATTTTTTTCAAATATCCCATCGTTCTCCAACTATCGCGTCATCCAATTCTTCCCCAATATGCCATCGTTTTTCAATATCCCATCATCCCATTGTTCCCCAATATTCCGTCATCCCATCGTTCTCCAATATTCACACCAGTTCGTATGGCAATGACAATTCTAGCATAACATAATTTTTCGATTTCACTGTGATATTTGCCACGACTGACAGACAGACAGCTGTGCTTCCTGGTGAAACTCCAATTTTAATTTGTTATATATTTTTACATTATATTTCATATATAACAACATAATAATGGCGTTCAACGCGTCAGCTGTGGCGTTCAGTCGTATTACAAATATCAATGTTGCCGATCAGTGAACCAAATTAAGCGGTGATATGTCAGCACTGTTCGCGAAACATTTAAAAACGTCGTAGGTGCACCGTGGTCGGCAAATGATCGATACTGTCATGATTGGTATTCCTCGCTGAAATTACCATTTTTGTGTCAGTCTGGTGGCAAATAAATTGACAAACGAGACAAAACAAAATAATTCCCATCGGCTGACGTCACATTCACACGCTGATTGGTAAATGACCGATTGCTATGGCAATGCAGCTTATCACACATAACAAGAGAGGAGAGCTGTTGGCTGGAACGAACATTTGTTTTTCTCGAGTAAATGATACGCTCGTGTTAATACTGACTCGTCGTGGTCGTTTGACACAGGGGCACTGTGAACAAAATTACCTCGTTTAAAATAACACCCATTCGCGCGTGTGTTTGTCTCGCTTACTATGGCGCCTGTTAATTTGTAATCCATTGGGTGATTACTTTGTTAGCGGCATGTCTAATGAATCCACTTCAATCGCGTAACTGATATGAGCACATTTTAATGACCTTGCTAGCGTTTGCATTTATTTTATAATCATTCAAAAAAAATCAGGTTACATGCAGCGTCATCTTTTTTAAAAAAATGTCACGTGATACTCGGCCAATGACAGAGCTCCACTAGTTTCATCTAGACATAATGTCCGGAAGGCAGTACATTTACTTGCATTCTGGGAGTTTACACGAACTTTCCAACGGCTGTTTATCACCGAGTGAAGGGCCACGCTAGTGACTCTCGGAAACACACATCGATTGCCAGGAGTGCAAAGTTAACTAGCAACGTTCAATACATGGTGACTGGCAGCGAGTACTCGCATGTTTTGATTCGTGCCAACTGTAAAAAAATAAGCGAATGCAAGGAGTGCTCAGCCAAGTACAATCGCATATACCGCTGGGCCCCTGTTGACATTTGACACATCACTGCCGAAAGTCATGAATATTCGTCGTCTGTGCGGCAATGCTATTATATTATCGTCGAAACTGTGTTAAATTATATAAATACAGGCGAACGCCCCCAGGCTGTTTACACCCATAATTCGGATTCATTCACATGGTAATTATGGTATGGCATTTCGCTATTTAAATAACTAAAAAGCCTTGTATGGAGGTCTCCCCAAACCCAATAAAATACAATTTGTTTACCTGGTTCAATTTAAATCAATGAGCAATAAATAATGTGTAAAACAAAAAGTCAAGAGGGTTGATGCACATTTTGCAGCACGCGAGTAGTGATGGATTTCATTAGCTAACATGTTATCGAATTGCGTATGTATGCCTTACAGCGTGTGAATGCAGTCTGCGTCATTTTAAATTAATCATATATTTCGATTCGATTCTCAATTCCTTAATGTTTAAACAGTACAATAACATACCGATAGAAGTGTACTCCGAATCACCAACGCATCAGTTTAAAATAGGCGCAATTGGCATGTATAATAAGTAGCATGACTCCAAATAAGGCATTCTGGGCGGTCCCCCTAGGTTCAGTATATACCGCACTCGTGGTAATTGTATGCAAAGCGACGCGCCGTTCGCCCATCCACTGTGTTCTACGCGCACGATTTTATACACTGGCAAGTTGTTGCCGACCAAACCAGTATGACTTTGCTCATACCGCTTGTCTTGTTCTCCTTGCAGCTTATGCGTAAAAGCATTTCTATGTGATTAGCATAATTCGACGGTTGTGATCACGTTTCCCCGCATCTCGTCTTTCAGCTTGATGCCTAGCAAGATGAGAATATGGTGGACACAACAAACAGTGCTCGATGTTAATATTGAAGAAAAATGACTGTCAGGGCAACCACATCAGCATCACTGGCAGAGGACTAAGCTCTTCAGGACTGAAACAACCATGGATGATTTGATCGTACACATTTTTAGCGTCGCTCTATATACAACCCTTTTCTCCTGGACATCGTACGCAACGCTTATTTGATACACCTGCTTGCCATTGCAACGTTTTTTTTTCTTTCTGACACAATGTAAAAACCGAGCGACAATTGGAATACTATGATGTTGGCTGGATGCTTCCCTTTGCTATATGGATTTCTCCTCTCTCTCTTGATATTTTTATCGTTTCCCGTTACCATCGCAACCAATGTTTCGGCGTCTTTGTCCATCGTTAAAATTGGAGCTCTCTTCGACGAGGAGAATGTATCTCGATATTCGGGAGTGCTAACCCGCAGTATAGAAGAGCTGAACGGTTCCGTTGCCGGAGTGCAGTTGGATGAACCAGTCATCCTCGGCGCTAGCTCCAATCCAGGCCATATCTTATCCCTTGTTTGCGATGAAATGATAACCAAGAATGTCTCAGCCATTTTAGCAATCTCCACGGAAACTACGCTTTTTAGCCTGTCCATGGTAGGGGAATTTTTATCTACACCGATTGTCGGTATCGGGAGTCGTTCTTTTTCCTTTTCGAACAAGGTAAGTGTTTATTATGTGTAATTTTAACTGTACTATCTCAGAATGCACCTGTTTTAAGAGAGTTACAACGGGTTACAATTTATACATTATGTCGACCTACATGATATGGACGTAGCTGTTTAGCTACAAACTACGTGCAGCGACATTACACTGACCATGAACATCCAACACGGGTCTCCCAGATGGAGGCCATTGTATTGATTTTGGCACGCGATTCAGATATTAACAAAAACACGGTAAACACGGACCGATTCGCCGAATATTATAGTATATACAGGTATATATATCCCTTGTCAGTGATAAATCCCCCCTTGAAACATCAACATACTTACTACAGTATAATATAACGTGGTCCGTACCACAGCTGCGCAAACGCGACAATGCGGAGAATGACTAAATCAGCTGACTCCCGTTATTATGATTTTTTTTGCTGGTCTCCGAGCATAGGCGAGCGAGCATCAATCGTCATTTCTCTTTTATGTCCACGGACAACACGTTTTATTTAAACATGATTAATTAAACTAAAAAAAGGTTACAACGCCGCATATTACTGATGCAATTTACAAAAGTACAAGTTAAGATAAGTCGCCGTTGATCGTAGGTATATAATAAATTACCCGGTTTAAATGTCGTCAGCATGCACCTTTACGGCATGCCTGGCTCACCACTTTCCATCTTCGTAAAAACAAAAACAAATCAGCATGGACCGCATCATTGACACGACGACTGATGGATACTAGATATAGTTTATAAATATGCAAATCTAAAATCCGACTGTCTCTATTATTACGTAAATGGGATGGTGAATGCATAGCTCGGAGCCAGTCACTAGCGAAAAATGTGGAAGAAACAGTGGTAGATCGTTAGTGAGATAAGACAGCTGTCTTAAAGTGAATATCTCACACGATACATACTCCCTTTAACATGTAGCGCATTTTACTTTGAATTCCTCAATGAGATTCAGTCTGAGAGTATGTACATTTCAAGCTAAAAACATATGTCAGGACTTTTGTAGAAATGGCTGACTTCCATAATTATTATTCATTTAAATAAGCCCTTTGCACCAACATGAATGTCACGTGACCCAAAACAATGATTTAATTACACAATTGATAATCTTTTTTTATGTTTTGGGTAATCTCCTGATAAGTTGGATGATCCACAGTTTGTTGTACCGATGTCCTTATTGTTATGTGAGTGTATGTTCACCGCGTAATGACCATACGCTCACATATGCCACAGCGGTGTAATATTATGTACATAAACTGGTCTTTAATATTGGGAAACAATATCAGTGACGGTCAGTTTTAACTAGAATACACCAATGCGCATAGAAAATTAAATTCACGGAATTTGGGTCAGACCGGCAGACGTAAGGCCGTCTTGCGGCGTTTACTGAAACAAGATCACGTGTTCACACGTGGTTTCGATGTCGTATTTCGTCGGCAACATATCCTAACGCAATGGCAACCATTGAATACGACACCACACTTTATCTATAAAAAGCTTACACATACCACCAGAAAACGACTACATTCATTCTATCATGCCACGATTAGTCCAGAAATAGACATATACACACAAAAATGACCGGTACGGATTTGGGAATATTTAGTCATTTATGTGTCTCCACACAATATTAGACCTTGTACATATCGATGCTTGTGTGTACCGATTATTTGAGTGACTTCGTCCGCATTAAAGTTTTAAATTGATTTTGAAATACTGACCGAATAAAAAAAATAGTTGGTGGTAATTGAATAACGTGAACGAGCTGTAAATTGGATGCCGATTACAACTGGGAATTGGGGAAGCGATGTAAGGGAAATGGAAAAGGCTTGTCTTATGAGTGGTCTACCATCACCCACTTAGCCATTAAAGAATGAATGATTGAATGAAAAAACTATCCTGGATAAAAATAATATTCTTCATTTAAATGCGTGTATGGGAACCGAACACGTTAAGGTCTCATTCGACAGCATATGTTTATTATGAAGTATAATTTATTGTCGAAACTTATAATTGGCGAACACACATGATCGTACTGCGTCACCACGCGGTCGACCTTAACCGTTAACACTACACGTTACTAAGTACACACGTGCATTATGCGTATAATATGCTTGATGTACTAGTACTTCATTTCATAAATTGATTTTCAGTTACATTACTGATAATGAGAAACGAAAAGAAGAAGACAAAAATTTGCTTTAAAACACCGCGCACAGTTGGACCCGAACGACAAACAGCACTTAGAAATGCTATCTGACTCTTGAATGACAAGTAACATCATCGCTCCCCTATTTAACGCCTTTGTATTTCAGGATTGTCGATCTTCATTTCAAACTACCAAATGTGAGAAAACAATCATACAGTGGAATTGCGTTATTTGGAATGACATTGGCACCATCCAAGTTCATTTCTAAATGCAATCCCATCCGCACGTCCCGAACATTGGCCCTAAAGGTCACACATCCGGGTATTTCCTGGGGGTATTGTCGTCCTATAATGGATATATTATTCAAAATTGATTTTAAACGAGAACTGCTTGCATTGGGTTTAAATTATATTCTAGAAAATTCCTGAATGAAAGATATTCATGAAAACACAGAGATTAGAGATGACAATCTAAACGATGCTAATTGTAAAATTACATTTCAATTCGTTAATTATCGTGTAAATCCCCGTGTTATTAACCATTGAAGTGTAATTGTCCTAATAAGGAAACCGACTGAAACTATTTATTTATCCAACACTAGAAATAATATATTCTGTGTATTTCTTCCAAGAGCGGACATTCCAAATACTTTGGATCGATCGCCGGCAAGTATATGTTTCTGCAATTTTCGTTTGGACCCCACATATTTATTTTAAAGCAATGAATCGCACTGGTCAAATGTGATTGTAGTTGCAGCAATGCATTATATTATTTTATTTACATTTCAATGAATGCCTACGGATATGTGAACGCATTTGCCCCATCGTTAAGTGAAACATATATAATGAAAACAAATATGCATGCCATAACTAGTTAATACAGCAATTATGTCTTCTAGCTAGGGGATAGTGTAAACACGCTCTGTTCATCGGAAATGGTTGAAAAATTACAAGATACATATGTTTATGTAAAGTAGAAGTCTTGTTCTTGAGCATTGCTTCAAATACACACCGTGCATTATTTACTAGTACTTCACTCTTTTTTTGAGTCGAGTTACGCAAATAATGTTGACGCAGGGCTTTATTTATTTATTTTAAAAATAACCAATAGGCAACAACGCCTATTTACATGTTTCTAAAATATTACAAATAATAATATCGATAATATTACAACCGTAAAAAATACGTTATGTATACAATTTGAATATTGTTTAATTAAAATGATTGTATATCTGACCCAACTGACCCCATATCTAAATCAGTAGAAATACAAGTAGTTCGGGGTTCAAAGGACTTACCAATTTGAGATATTACAGAATCTGGCGTTGCATGGGATATGTATATGCTCAAGAATTGAATGTTTAGCTTCTACATACGCGTCAGATTCACAGCGATGTTGGGAAGGAAACTTGAAAGTTACGGCGATTGGCACACCACTATTAGTATTATTGCAAGTTGTTTTGTCCCGAACACTTCTATATACAAAATATTTGCTTTCATTGGATAATTATGATGTTATGAATAATTTGATGTTAAGGATATTCTTTATATGAAGCAAATATGTACGGCGAAGCCGCCACTGAGACGTCGCATCTGAGTCGCTGCGGCGCGTTCTACACAGAGCTTGTGAATGCCCAGAAGGTGTAGTTAGAACGTGTAGATAGAAGGTGTAGTCAGGTGGTGGTACGTTCGGCTCTAGCATCACCAATACCATGGCCATGGCCACCATTCCTTCGCTAGGCAACAGTACGTGATAGTGCCACACAAACATGTGTTATTATTTAAATATTACACCTTCTGAATGGCAAATCTAATTGGTACTTGCAATTAGAAATTTCTAAAATAGCAAAAAATAACTCGTTTAGTGACTGGTCGAGTTATTGTGAAATATGAAATTATTTATGTTCTCGCTATATATCGAAAATTTGTTGCATTCACCAACATGCGTTCTCGTTTTGAAACACATTTGCGGATTTCACCGTTTCTAATTCTTCCAACCTGACAGTGCCAACGCACGAAAGTTTTCATTTATAAACGTTGGTAGAAATGGCCGTTGATAGAAATGGTCCACAATTTAGTTAAAATATTGCCAATATGTCTCAACCACTGTAAACACATTGCTGACGTTGCTATATGCAAATGATTATAACGCGCTAAGAGGCGTTACACAACTAACGATTTTGATGTTAGCTTTTACTGGCAAAAAAATGGAAATATCAAAATTCGTGAATGTGTAATATCATATTTATCAAACATGTGTAACATTACTCGTGAAACTTACTAAACTCTATTAATGAATACAATATTATATTATCGTCACTTCCATGTGAAACTGCTCAATCGATGATCTGATTGGTCAACACACGCAATTGAAATTATGACGTCATATCCAAAGATGTCTCCACGTGAACCATTTGACTTGGCAATAATTCATTCCGAGTAACTGTTTTAAATATAAATTATATTAATGTTACCTTTATATACCGTTTAGTTTCATCCAGTCGAGTTTTCGTGTTATAGTTGCGGTACTCCGAGTCGTTTTGTTTCTAATTTCCCAGCCAGAACTCGAAAGTGTACGGAATTTGTCTAAACAAAATCGTCTAAGATTCATCGATGGCGATGAACTGTCAATAAACTGTGTTCAAGTAATCACGTTCTAGTATGAGATAAGAGCTATGCAAATTAAATAGGACGTCTCGGATGTTCGCACACAATTTGTTGTTTTGATGGATTTAAAAGCCATGAAAGAGATGCATAGGTTAAATAGCATTTCCAATTCGTGGCCGTGTGATATCCGTTCTATTTCTCCATCCAACAGATCCTTACTTTTTACGACACCAGTT